TTTATGCAATTTTTTACGGGGGAGCTTGGTTTTGGATCCTAAACACCTAAGGGGGAGCCGGACTTTGGCCCTTGTGGCAGGCAAATGCCGCACTGCTGGCCAAAGGTGGATGGTGGTTCCTCTAGGAGAAAGACACTCTCTGAACCCAACTCGTTCGAGCCAAGTATGGGAAACAATGATAAGGACAAAATCTCTTTCGGCCTATTCAGGGATTTTTTTTTTTTTTTTTTTGCTTGGAGAAGCTTTACCAAAGCCTCTAGCTTGCTGCAACAAGGTTGTGCATGGAACATTCATAATGGGAAAGACACTAATTTTTCACGTGATGTCTGGTTGGTGCAGGTCCTGCTTGTGGAGCTCTCCTTGCAATCAGTGTCGGAATGAATGATAATGGACTACATTGTAGACTATCTCGACGAGGAAGGAAGATTGGACTCAAATCGTCTTTCTCCTTGGCTTTCAACAGATATCCAGTAGAATATCATGACAAGTTTGGTGGACCCCCTTTCCACCAAAAAGGACAACCTCTTCTGGACAGCCTTCTCGAATGGTCGTTTCTCCATGAAGTCAGCTTATCTCATGGTGTACCCTCCTCAAAGTGACCCTCGCAAAAAGATTTGGAAGCAGATATGTTGATTGTCGCTCTGGAAAGGATTCGCTGCTTTACGTGGCTGGTGACATTGGGAGGAATTGTGACCAACCAGTTGCGATTCTGCAGGAAATATATGACTTCTCAGCATGCTATCGCTGCAATGGAAGGCCGAAAACGATCGCCCATGTCCTCTGGGACTGCCCTCCGACGACCTTCTTCTAGAGTAGACATGTTCCCCAAGCAGAGCAGCAAGTCTTCTTCTCCTCGAAACAAGAGATTGGCTACACAAGAGCTTACTTAAAGATGATTCTCTCTCATCAGGTGTAATCTAGAATGCTTTTTTCAACATGGTGATCTGGTGCTATGGAAAAATAGGTGCACGACCTGCTTCAAAGGTGTCTCCTCATCACTTTCGCCATCATTTTTGGCTCACTCGATCAATCATAAGGTGGTCATGTGGCATAAAGTTTGGCATGCTGCAATCTTTTTGTAACATCCCGTTCCGGCAAACCCATATTTCGATCATTAGAAAGTTCGCGAATTAAAATCTAGCGTTTTGATAGTATTTCGACGAAAATCGGATTATCGATCGATCGGATAAGTATACGTATTAAATATATATATAATATATTATATATAATTAATTGGCGAGTTCTATTGTACCCCGGGTGAAATCCGGGGTATCGCATACCTTAAGTAAGAAAATGCTATCCAGAACTTGAATTGACTGATCTTTCAGACATGATACTATACTCTAACCCTTCAAGATCAAAATCTAGGTCTTAATTCACTAAATCTTATACCCCAAGATCAATTTAGTTAGAATCAATAATCGACGGTTATGATTCGTCCAAATATAGGCAAAAAAATCAATGCACCATATTAGGGTTTATAGTTTATGATTTAGATAATTAGGACCTAGGGTTCACTCATAAAGGGTTAGGGTATAGTATCATGCCCAAAAATCTTACTAATCCGAGGTCTAGATAGCATTTTCATACTCAAGGTATGCGGTACCCCGGATTTCACCCAGGGTACCGTAGAAGGCACCTTAATTATATATATAATATATTATATATATATACTCTATATAAGTCGGTCACAGTCTCAGACCACTTACATATATAATTCCCCTCCCCCGGTCCATTTATTTCCCCCCATCATCATCTTTTACATTTCCCACCGAGAGGAAACGGAAACAGAGCGAGCAGAGAGAGCATACAGGGGAGCGACGAGGAAAAATTTCCCAAGCTCAATTCTTGAGTTCTAGTGATCCAAAAGTCTCGTAAGTAATGCCTAATTCATTTATACATCGTGATTTATCGATTTAGAGCTTTAAAACGAGTTTTTGGTTCAGGAATTTCTTGAATTCCCGATAAGCCAAATTAGGGTTTCGGGGTATCTGGAAGCCGGATTAAGCCCAAATTTCATATACGAGCTTCCTGCAGCGAGGTAATTAATTCTCTGGTTCTAATCCATGAATTTCGGCTATTATTTAGGTTGGAGCCGAGATCGCTGAATTTAGCTCCGGCCAGGGTTTGATGTGTTTTTATCGAGAATTTGACTCGGAGCCTAGAACTAATATTGACGGGGATACTGCAGGGGATATTAGGACGGTCTCGGATTTTAATTCGGGGTTCGTTCCTGAAATTGACGTTTTAGTACGGGAAGGTTAAACCGGTGTTTGAACGACCAGAACTGGTGAGGGAATAGCACGACATACCGGGTTTGTCGTATCACGATAATTATGTTGATGCTTAGAATTGACCTAGGTGAACTAGAATGGCATGATTAGGGGTGTATGAACTTTTGTGCTATATGTTGAACCCTGGATTGTTGTATGATATTATTGACTTGCCCTAATCGATATGAACCTTGTTTATGCTGATGATTGTGTATATGTTGCAAATTGTGGGCTTGACTGTTAATATGCTTTACGATGGTTCGAGAAGGTGATTAGGTATGATTTTTCATGATTGTTGTATTTGGATGCACAAGTGGGGAAAAATATATCCCCTGGTGATATTATGATGTTTAAGGAGGATGACTTGCACGAGGGTTTATCCCGAGGAACTGCAATTATACGACTCCTGATTTACCTATGTTGAGCCAATTATGGCCAGGTCAAGTACATGTGCAAGTAATGAATTATGATTAAGCAAGATGAGATATGAATCATGTATAAGGATACCAAATATGAGTGTTGTGGTCTCACGGTCAACTACATAGTAATTAGGGCTCCCTATGCTATTACTTTATTATGATATGTATGATAGTCACACCTCTCATGTGGTGGTGACTGAAGATTTCTTACGAGATATGACCACACCCAGAGCGGTGTCGGGGTATGACTACACCCATAGTGGTGTGGGGTATGTATGACTACATCCGATGGGATGTGGGGTATGTTTCCCGGGAGAGTTATTAGCATGGGAGTAGCCAGGCGCCTATAAGTAAAACATGATAAGACGCATATGCATAAGTCAAAGTGGTTGAGTCTTTTGCCCATTGGGATATGAGGATGGCTGAGGTCCGATCCTAGTGTTTTGGCTTGATTGCTAGATGTATGGTAGGGGTATGCTGGTTATGAACTCACTATGCGATGATTATCTCACTCAGCTATGAGCTGACCCTCTTTTATTCTTTTCCTCTGCTTATGCTATGTGTAAGCAGATCATCAGCAGTAGCAAGTACTTAGTGTGGGCAAAGCGAGGAGTTGAAGGCAGAATGAGGTATTGTCTTCAACTATTCTGTGCTTAGACGACTACTTGGGATTTTGGCTAGTGATCCACACCTTTTTGTAAAAATGTTTTGAGAACGTTTTTCATGTGCATACTAGCTTCTGATGTAGTGTGAGATATCCACAGGTGTGGAAAGTTGATGATATGTGTATATTTGTGTAATTATGTAAGTTGTGACGATTATGGCATGTATCAGTATAGTATGCAGTTGTGTAACATGAAACTGTGACTATGGCTATGAAAAGCCAATGCATATGGTTGTGAGTATATATGTTTGTGATGAATTATTTTGTAGGATAAGTTGCAAGAACTGTTAGCCCATTACGCGAGTAATTCATGTCGAAATTTTATTTGGGTAAATTTTGATAATTAGTGTAACACCCGAGATTAATTCCGCTGCAATTGTATGAACAATATGATTAGGCAAAACGTATAGGGTAGGGTGTTACACTTTTCCCTGAATCGTCCATAATAGAAGGATTGAGAACATCCATTGGCACGCACCTCCGAGAGGATGGATGAAGTTTAATATTGATGGGGCATCAGTGGGAAATTCGGGATTGCAGGCACAGGAGGGGTGATCCGCTATGATCAGGTGCGGTGGATTATCGGGTTTGTAGCAAAGATTGGTGAAGCTTCGGCCGCGCTTGTAGAAATTTGGGTTGCTTGCATGACCTTGATGTAGCTTGGAAACACAGGTGTGTGAACTTGGTGGTCGAGTCAGATTCCCAGTTGGCAATTCAACCGATCAAGGAACGGTAGGACCCTATTCAACCAAACGCGTCGTTGTTGGCCTCGATTCGTTGTTGCTTAGCGACGGATTGGTTGGTTAGTATTGTTTGCACATACTGGAAGGGAATAGAGCCGCAGACTAGTTCTCGAAGCACAGTCTCGTCTATCACTACGGTATGCAAGAACTTATTAACCCACTCAGAGAGCCAAGTAGGATTTTGCAGGAGGATATTCAAGGGGTTCTTTTGAGCACTGAGTTGGCGTGTCTCCCTCATTTTGTTTCTATCATTGTTGGCTACGGCCTCCTGTGATGCCAAAAAAAATCAACTGTTATTGTATTGTTTATAATACTTTAAAGTTTGGTATATCTCACCTCAAGAGAAATAAATGTTGGCTAATGGTCATTGTTTTTTTTTTTTACTATTTATGCTATATTTTGTTAGATAATTTTTTTCGTTACGTCATTTTTCTTTTCAATCATGATAACTAAGTGATTGCATCATTAAATTTACAGATCATGAATAATTATTCATGAGCATTACAATCATAAAGAATAATTTTGAAATCACCTTAATGTCATATAAGTATTTCAAATAATTTGAAAAACCCCTGTTTTCACATACCGCTCGTACCTCTGCTCTCTGCTTTTACAAGAAAAGAATACTTCTCTTCTAATATATCACCCCCTCACCCAAGCAAAGCAAAGTTCCCATGGCAGCTTCTTGGGAAAAGCATTCCTTTCTTTTCCAAGGAGTACTGCATCTATATGTGTATATATATGCTACCTGTGAGCTGCATACCAGATAGCATATGTGCTTTGCTTCATCTCTCTTTCAAGTTTCCTGTACAGTTCCACTTTCTGAACAACCCCTTTTGATTTAATTTACAGCCCATTCTCTATTCACAAATCAAACATACGAACAAGCAAAGGAATAGAAGCAAGCAATCTAGTAGCTAGACTACAAAATACAATAAAGACTGTTCATCATGATCAACACTTATCCCAAAACCACCAACAATATGCATCATCCTCGCCATCTCCCTAACCATGCAGCCATACCCCACCAACATGGCGGCGGCGACCCACTCGACGAGTACGGATTGAAGGACACCAACCCACAGCTTGGAGGAGGCCGATCACGATCAGCATCAGCAGCAGCAGGATGGTTGAATAGCGACATGATGCTCTTCTCGTCGTCATCATCGTCATCGTCTTCCGCCACATTCGACCTCGTCGAGCAAATGACATACCTCTACGTTCGAGTAGTGAAGGCCAAAGACCTTCATCCAACTAATTCCATCACGGGAAGCTGCGACCCTTATGTTGAGGTCAAGCTTGGGAACTACAAGGGACGCACCAAGCACTTGGACAAGAAATTCAACCCTGAATGGAACCAAGTCTTTGCCTTCTCCAAGGACAGAATTCAATCCTCCATCCTCGAAGTCATCGTCAAGGACAAGGAAATGGCTACCAGGCTTGACGATTACCTGGGGAGAGTCGTGTTCGACCTCAACGAAATCCCCACCAGAGTGAGTAATTCAGCAGACCACATAACTTATATTGAAATCATTCATTCATAGATATGTTGTTAATTTACTAGGGTTGGTTCAACACTGCAGGTTCCACCGGACAGTCCTCTGGCTCCGCAATGGTACAGGCTGGAGGACCGCCGGGGTCACGGCAAAGTCCGCGGCGAGGTAATGCTCGCCGTCTGGATGGGGACTCAGGCCGACGAAGCATTTCCCGAAGCTTGGAACACGGACGCAGCTTCCGTGTACGGAGAAGGCGTGGTCAGCGTGAGATCCAAAGTCTACGTCTCCCCCAAGCTCTGGTACCTCAGAGTGAACGTGATCGAAGCTCAGGACGTAATTCCAAGCGACAGAAACCGGATCCCGCAGGTGTTGGCCAAAGTCCAGGTCGGAAACCAGATCCTGAAGACGAAGATCCACCAAAATCCGACGATCAATCCCTTCTGGAACGAGGACTTGGTGTTCGTGGTTGCAGAGCCGTTCGAAGAGCAGCTGTGCGTAACCTTGGAGGACAGAGTTCATCCTTCCAAGGACGAGGTCCTGGGGAAGATTGCGATTCCGTTGACCGCTCTGGAGAAGAGGCTCGACCACCGCCCCGTGCATTCCCGATGGTTCGACATGGAGAAATTCGGACTCGGGGGGGCTCTGGAAAGGAAGGAGATGAAGTTCGCGAGCAGGATTCACATCAGGGTGTGTCTTGAAGGTGGGTACCACGTGATGGACGAATCCACAATGTACATCAGCGATCAGCGGCCGACGGCGAGGCAGCTGTGGAAGCAGCAGCCCGTCGGGGTGTTGGAGGTCGGGATTCTCGGAGCTCAGGGGCTTCTTCCGATGAAGATGAAAGATGGCAGAGGGTGTACGGATTCCTACTGCGTGGCCAAGTACGGCCAGAAATGGATTCGGACACGGACCATTTTGGAGTCGTTTAATCCCAAGTGGAACGAGCAGTACACATGGGAAGTCTACGATCCCTGCACAGTCATCACTCTCGGAGTGTTCGACAATTGTCACTTGGGAGCTGCCGGCGGGGGGATTAATAATGGACGAGATTCCAAGATTGGGAAAGTTCGAATCAGACTCTCAACCTTGGAAGCACATCGAACCTACACAAACTCGTACCCTCTTCTGGTCCTTCATTCGAGCGGGGTCAAGAAGATGGGCGAGCTTCAGTTAGCCATCCGCTTCACCACTCTGTCGCTCGCCAACATGATGTATGTTTACGGACATCCTCTGTTGCCGAAAATGCACTACTTGCATCCATTCACTGTCAATCAAGTGGATAGCCTGAGGTACCAGGCGATGAACATTGTGGCGATGAGGCTAGGGAGGGCCGAGCCGCCTCTGAGGAAAGAAGTGGTGGAGTATATGCTGGACGTGGACTCGCATATGTGGAGTATGAGGCGGAGCAAGGCGAATTTCTTCAGGATAATGTCGTTGATCTCGGGTACCATTTCGATAAGTCGTTGGTTCAATGAGATATGCCAGTGGAGGAACCCCGTGGCCTCGGTTCTGGTCCACATCTTGTTCCTGATCCTGATCTGGTACCCGGAGATGATCCTTCCTACTGTGTTTTTGTACATGTTCTTGATCGGGATGTGGAACTACAGGTTTCGAGCCAGGGTGCCGCCTCATATGGACACGAAGCTCTCATGGGCCGAGGCGGTCAGCCCCGACGAGCTCGATGAGGAGTTCGACACGTTCCCTACTTCCAGAGGTCAGGACGTGGTCAGGATGAGGTACGACAGGCTGAGGAGTATTGCTGGCAGGATTCAGTCGGTGGTGGGAGATGTAGCTACTCAGGGGGAGAGGTTTCAGTCGCTTTTGAGCTGGAGGGATCCGAGAGCCACGAGCCTGTTTGTGGCCTTCTGCCTAGTTGCGGCTGTTGTGCTTTATGTGGCCCCTTTCAGAGTTGTGGCACTTGTTGCTGGTTTGTACAGTTTGAGGCATCCCAGGTTTCGAAGCAAGCTGCCTTCTGTGCCCAGCAATTTCTTCAGGAGGTTGCCTGCTCGAAGTGATGGCTTGCTTTAGATTTTTCTTTCCACTTTCCAATACAGGTTGTATGTATGTGACTTTGTAGTTTGTTCAGCTGTTGAGTTGCTAATATGCATACGTTTGTTCTCTCTGTAGCAAAGTTGCAAACTGTTACTTTCTTTCTTGTATTTTAGAGAAGAAACTAAGGAAAGCAAAGATACAAATAGAGAGGAGAAATCAACGCCAACAAGAGAATATAGTTCTTGAGATGCCATATGGTTCGCATTGATCAGATCAGCTGGTCAGCAACTGCCTCTCATAAAAGATGCACCAGAGTGACTTCAACCCCTCCACTGCTGATCATCAACATTCTTCAAGGTTCCCACAACCAAAATTCAGATCAGTATCCTCCTCTCTCCTGGCCGTGAAGATATACCATCAGTCGCCATCTTGACTTCATCTTCCGTTGATATTCAACATCCAACAGAGTTCCTCCACCCCCAGTAAGAGTACCTCCGCCAGAGTAAGGCCAACGCGGCAGTGGCCGTGGTGCTTCAGGAACAATATAATCTGTAGCGATAAGATGTCCAGCTTTTGCTGGCAAGTGAGGGTCAAAGAGTCCACCATCATGGCCTCCAACACTGCTCATAAGAACATGAGCTGTGGAAGTTGGATGATGATACTGCAGCTTGGTCAATTCGTCCTGATAATGTTGATACCTTGGCTGCTGCGTTGCAAGAGAGGGATCCAATCTGAACTTGAAGGTGCTGCAATCGCCAAGCCGGAATGGCTCGTCGGACCTCTTTCCATCTCCTCTCTTGTTGTTGTAACGAGGATAATCTTTCATCTCGAAATCAACTTGATCATGCAAGACCAAAAGGCTCTTGGAAGCAAGGCCTATGATGTTCCAGTCAGAATACGGTTTTGAAGTTTTGTGGGTGACATGTACTTCTCCATCAAGTCGTAGCATGGTTGATGCATTCCTGAAGAACCCATGCACTAGTTTCACGTGCTCTCTGCAATAATTGTCAACTAATTCGTGTTACTACAAGGGAGAATTATAAGTGATATTCAGATTCGATGAAAAGAGCAATGTGCCTAACCACTCAGCAGTTGGTCAGTCTCCATGTTACCTGATCAGGCGGGGATCGTCTTCCTTTCCGTGAAACCCTGCGTGGGGGAAGTTGAAAATGATGCGATCAAACTTGCGCATACACAAGTCAGGGAGAAGCTTCATTCTGGTTGCATCCACTCCATGGAAGACCTGAGCTCCCAACATTCTCAGCACTTCTAAGTTCCATCCTACTGTTTTGTATTTCTTCGTCAACTCGTCTAGTTAAGTCAAACAAAAATGCACAGAATGAATCCGACCCAAGGAACGAATCAACTCATATTCTTACACAACATATCAAAAACCAGAACTTCATGAATGATAAAACCAGAAAGGGATATAAAGATTTCGGGAACAACTGGATCAATGATTGTCTTTCAATGTAAAGTACAGAAAACCCTAAGAAATTAAGAGAGTTCAAATAAGCAGCAGAGCAGAAGAACCCAATTGATGATGAGTGTTTAGGTCAAGTGAAGTTTTTACCGAAGGTGTCAAGAGAGGTAGCGACGATATTGTAAGCGGAGCCGAAGGCGAGACCCAAAGACACAGTGAATGAAAAATCCCCTTCGCCGACCAACAGTATTTCTTGATCCGACGAATAGTGGGTCCTTACCCGCCGACGTTGTTCCATTTCGTCGCCGTCCGCCATCGCTGGGAAGGGAAACAGAGCCTACGAATATTGTTTGATACAGAGATGGCGCTGGGCACTGTTTCCTTTCTCTCCTAGTCCAACGACTCTACTCATCTCTCTCCTTTTGCATTCTTCGTTTGCTTTTGCTCCATCATTGAGCTCTCCAAGTCCAACTATTCTTAATACTGCCGGTTTGCTTTTGCTCCATCATTGAGCTCTCCAAGTCCAACTATTCTTAATACTGCCGCTAATTCTTTGAATTTTGAAATTTATTAACTAATCAACTTCATAAATCATAACCGGTATGGTAAGCAGACCTTAAGATGCATTATGTAATGGGGTAAATGCCACATTTGGTCACTGAGATTACTAAATCGTGTCATATTTAGTCACTATAAAAATTTAATAACAATTTTGGTCATTCGAATTACTGAAACATGTCACATTTGGTCATCTCCTGTAGCCTCCGTCCAACTCCGGTCACTCGAATTACTAAAATATGTCACATTTAGTCACTCGAATTACTGAAACATGTCACATTTAGTCACTCTCCCGTTAGTTTCCGCCCAACCTCAATTAATGGAGTTGGACAGAAACTAACGGGAGAGTGACTAAATGTGACCTGTTTCAGTAATTCGAGTGACCAAAATTGATATTAAAATTTTCTAGTGATTAAACATGACACAATTTAGTAATCACATTGACCGACATTTACCCTAATGTAACGTAATGATTTTGATTTGCTATTGCAATCATTAGGGTTTACCGTTGTAGGAGGAGCGCTAACAGACGATGGGAAAGTGTACCATTACTCGAGCAAATGTTGGGGGGAGGGGGGCTTGAGATAGCATGGGAAGCAAAGCACGTCGTGTGAAAATTGCAGCTTGACTCCAAGACAACAATCGCACTGCTTCAGGACACCGACTATCATAGCCATCAACAGGCCAGCCTCACCTTGGCATTTCAGGCTTTGCTGCGTTGTGATTGGGAAGTCAGGCTCACCCATATTTATAGAGAGGTTAACTTTTTGGTCGACTGTCTAACTCACAAGTGGCACTCTTTATTCCCGGTTATCACTCTATTGTTATTTCTTATTCGGATGTTTGCCATTGGGCCTTGTTTGACTCGGTTGACGGTTTTACCGTTTCCGTTTGATATTTGAATAAGAGGTAGATTGATGCTCTACACCCGTTTTTAACAAAAAAAAACTGAATGGCTAAACACCGCCCTAGGTTGTTTTTATAGCCCTATTTTAAACTAAAAAATTACTGTATTATCCTTTATGAAATAAATTAAATTAAAAAATCCTCCTTATTCCTTCAAAACTTGCAGCCGCACTATCCAACAAGATCCGGCCACCATTCACCAACTCCAAATGCCCGGCCACTCCGTCGCTTCCTCTCTTCGTCGCAATTTTTTCTTTTTTTGAATGTTGATGTGACTTTAATCGGACTATCAGTAGCTACGACTGGTAATTGGGGGTCTCGCTGCCAGGTCAGCGAGTAGGGTCCAGGGGCAACGCCCCGGTGGGGGTGCGGGGGCAACGCCCCCGGCCCACGGTGTATGGGCTCAATGTTATTTGGGTTTGGGTTCTGGACCTGGTCTGTAACCGTTTCCTTTGCCAGATTGGATTAGGTTTAGACCCACATGGAGAAGTACTATAAATACATCTCATACTCCTCTGTAATCTGTAATCTCCTCGATATAGTGAAACTGGCTCTCTCTCGCCCGTGGACGTAGCTAACACACATCGTGTTAGTGAACCACGTAAATCGTGTGTGTTTTTCGATTCTCGCTTTCGTATTCTTGTTTTATCGATTCCGGCGATTTCTCGATCCGTAGCAGCGCGTTTATAACAGTGAATAAAACCCTCACTCCACCACTAGAACCCCCCGGCTGTGGATGTCGTATGAATCACCCATCTCCAAACTCAACTCCGAGTCGTGTCTTTCCCTTCTCTTCGCCTCCGGAATCAACTCCCAGCCGACGCGGGTATATACCTTCACCACGTCGCCGAAATCAACTCCCGCTATCTATGTCCCATATACATTATGTGTCCCTTCTCCCCCTGCGGTGAGCATAACGATGATATTGATGGAGGCGGTTGACGGTGGAAATCGACGACAATGGGCCGCCGGCAGTGGGAATTAACGGCTGACGGACGTGCGCAGATAATGACGGCGACGGTTACGAATTTGGTTTCAGTTTTCATATGGATGTGCTTATTAGAATAAAATATTTCCTATAAATAAATTAGTGAATGACAAATAGGTAATTTTAACATTTAAATTAGGACAATTGTAGTAAAACTAGGGCGATATTTAACAATAAAAAAAAAATGTAACGTAATCTTTTTCTTTTATTTTTAGAAGAAAATACGGAAAAAAAGATAATAAAAGACTAAAAGAGAGAGGAGAAACAAGTGGATAAAATCTTTTATCTTCGACCTTTCCGGTTTCCTTTCCTCTTCTCTGCATCGCCCTTTGCTTCCCTAAGGCTAAAGTCTCTTCCTTTCTCCTTTTGCCTACTTGCCAACAATGGCGGCTATCTCAACATCGCTGTTATCACCGTTACCCACAACTGCAAAACTCCGCTTGTCAAAGAACCAATTGAAACCCAGTGCCCAAATCCACAATCAAACCAACCCAACTCACCGATTCCCTCAGCTGCGGACGGTTTTTAGCTCCACGACCAGTCTCCGCGCAGTAGCTGAAGAAGCCGCACCAGCTGCTGCTTCTGTAGACCCATCCTCGCCCGCTGCCAGAAGGGTGTACGTCGGAAACATCCCGAGGAATGTGAATAGCGAGGAGCTCAGAAAAATTGTTGAAGAACATGGAGCTGTTGAGAAAGCTGAGGTGATTTGCTTCTCCTGTGTTTTTCTGAACGCATATAAATAATGTATTTTGGGTTGATTTCCCCTGGCTTGTAGCACCTAAATAATAACTTCTGCGTTGCCTACCTTTGTATAAAATTGGTTGTTGGCTTGAATTGGACTTGATTCTAGCTGATATAAGTTATAAACCACTTCTTTTCAATCGTTTGTCAGTATGGCGGAGAAAAGGCATAGTCTTGAATGGGGATAAGCATATCCAAGACCTAATTCTTGGCGCAAAATGAGTTTTTTTCTTCTTCTTGTTCTCGTTGCAGGTTATGTATGATAAGTACTCAGGCAGGAGTCGTCGATTTGCATTTGTCTCAATGAAGACTTTAGATGATGCGAATGCTGTAGTTGAGAAGCTGAATGGCACAGTAAGCCTTTTCTTTCTTGTTCACTAGTCTGTAGTCTCCAACCCAAGAATCTAGTTGGGAGGGTAAGCTTTGGAGAGATAATTTCATCAGTGTTCTTGGTTTTAACTCGCTGCAGGAAATTGGTGGACGGGAGATCAAAGTGAACATCACTGAGAAGCCACTGGAACAAACAGAATCACCTCTCTTACAATCTGAGGAATCCCAATTTGTTGACAGCCCACACAAAGTCTACGTGGGGAATCTGGCCAAAACAGTGACAACAGATATGCTTAAGAACTTGTTTTCTGATAAGGCTAAAGTTTTGAGTGCCAAGGTTTCTCGAGTCCCAGGAACTTCGAAATCCAGCGGGTTTGGGTTTGTCACATTCTCGTCGGATGAGGATGTAGATGTCGCCATCTCGTCTTTCAACAACTCTGTAAGTTTCAACCCATTTCTGTGTCATGTTTATATTTTTTTGCTCTTTTTTTTTAATTCAGCAGATTCTCATTTCTGATCATTATTCTCTGGAGCAAGTATTATTTATGACTTGAACCCTTTGTCTCTTCAGATACTGTTTTAAATTGCTCTGTTTTTCCTGTTAAGGGTTGTTGTGTTAGTTCAATTCTTATAGTTGTTTGACCTTTTCATGCACTTGCAGCCGTTGGAAGGCCAAAAGATTCGAGTAAACAAGGCTTAGTGAAGTTCACTGAACAGCTAAAGAGTTATGGAGACAGAACATTACCTCTTTTTTCCATCCATTGCGGGAGAAGTTGGGTCTAGAAAGGGCACGGTCATGTGTTTCTCTGAAGTGATAGTGCTCCGCAGGCTGCAAATGTGCATTTTAGGTGCCAAAGCTTAAACAACTAGCTGATTTTGCCATTTTAATCAAACTGTTTGCTCCTGTGTTTGGGTAAATTTATGAAGGGATGATGAGGCAGGCATTGGTAACTTAGTACTCTTGCGTTTTACCTTTTGGTGTGAATGGGTGAATGGTATTGGGTAGAAAAGAATAATACCAACACAACTCTCCCTACAAAACAGATTAATCTGTTTTTTTCTATTCTTGGCCAGAAACAGCCAAAGGTTAATATTTGTGGAATATACTTGCCTGTTGTTCCTTTATTCAATAGCAGGAATGAGACACAATTAATTGGTCTAGAGCTATAACGACGTTCTCCATGAACTTAAGATGAATTCCCAGTTCACAATGGGCCTTTTCCTGACGTCCTCCTCGGAGCTTAGCCTTCAGCCCCTATTTCGCTCGCCCTCTGAGAGTCTTAGTTTTGCACAAAGACGATGATAGTCTGATTTTTGGTTGTCTGATCACACTCGAAATTATGTATCTACTTATCGTATTTTTGCCTCTGTTCGATAGTGGACTAGCAGGGTCATTTTCATTCCGAAAAGGTTACAGCCCTTGCTCACACGGTGAGAATGGAGATCATGTGGGCGTAATCTGAAATCGACAGCTGGGGTGGAGTGGCTTTAAAAAGGGTTCATTTAAGTGAATTTTGGTGGCTTTTCCGCTGAGAGCCAAACAAGCCGAGAGTTAGTATCCTAAATATTATTAAAAAAAAACTAGTATTCAAATTGCATGACATTAATGTAGTGCCGTCGTGATTTTTTTGAGCAATTGAGGGTCTTTTATTCCTTGATCATTCTCTTACCACTTCCTGCATAATGTCATGTTTCTTCCATTGTTTTCCTTCTTTGGGCAGCAGCAGTGTAATGTAACAGAGAGTTAGCCAATTCTGACAAACAAATAGAATGTATGATGTATCAGACATCTGAAACTGTAACAGAAACCCTCTGAGTTCATGCAAAAACCATATTTCTTGTTGAAATGGTAACTGCTAGGACAGTGCAGCAAAATACTCGTTGAAGTGATTTAAATATTGAATACGTATACATATACCTATACATGTGTTGCCCCCTACGGTACTTTACTTGCTTACAAAAGGATGAACTTTAGAAGTAACAAAGCACAAGATCTTGCATATGTGCTGCAATTAATGGAGAATCCTCGATCATTCATCCATCCCTAAACTGAATGCGCCAGGTGAAACTTTTGAATTACCAGAGGCGAGATGCCCCTAAGTAACAGAGAAAAATAGATTGAAAAGGTTGGATTCAATTTTGCAAGCTATGCCAGTAGTAAGTAGCTAACGTTAGCCATGCAACTGCAGGCTGTGCCTTTCAGTCATCAGCCAACTAACAGTGTGAATCCCATTTCTGGGAGTGCCTGCTAACGTGTTCCTGCAGCAAAGGCGTTGATGAGAGCATCCAGACACATGTAGGTAAAAAGTATTGCACCCTGCATTGTTCATGCAGCAATGCAACCACCACTCTCTGGACTGAGTGATGGGAAGATCTCCTTGCTAGTTGCTACCAGCTCTTTGATCCCACAACTGCAAGCATAGAAAAAGTCCAAGCTCACTAACTAGAGAAACATGATGCACTACGGTACGAGAGGAGTGACCAACCAAAAAAAGCACATTACCGAACCCATCACATACCTCCCTAAGCAACCTGCCTTCAGGAAGGATATGATTAGCATTTGATTGTGGATATTTGAACCATTTGATGGCTTTAGTAGCTGCAGTGCACCCCAGTTGATGGCTCAGCACTTGGAAATACAAATCTCTGGGTGCGTAGTGCGATTTAATATGTCAAATTAAATAGCCCACACTTTTTTCCAAAAGCCTACTAACCACTTTATCCAATAACTAAAGTGGAAAACAAACTTAAAAACAACTTGCACTTTCCTTCTCCCACCAATGTGGTATTTCCTTTACTCTTTGACTACTCTAACAATCCCCCACTTAGTCAATAAGAGTCGAGAATACCTGCCTCGAACAAGTAACGCATACATAAAGGTATCTTTTCGATTTGAACCTTTACTTAGTGTAAACATCTCAATGTTCATAGCGAATCAATGACGGGCTTAAGCCTGGGAGTCAAGATCCAAAGCTAGAACCGGAGACACCACACACGTACTCGTCTCTTCTCTAAAACACAACCACCAACAAGGGTAGCACTATTATGGCCATGTGCTTATCCTGTTTCATGAGCATATACAAAAGTTGACCTTTACTTTTGTTAGAGCGGCACCACTCCAAATGCTCACATAGGTGACATTCCAAATGAACGTCATTAAGAGTTCTATAACTCACCCTTCTTACAACTAATATACTTGTACAATAAATTAGTTCCCAGTTAGAGTAACTTGTTATACTTATTACCACATTGAACCTTTTAATTAGTGAATATCTAAAGTAAAGGTTGGGTTTCCATTACTTTTTACTATACAAAAGGTCTCAATCTCATCCCTTGGGATGTCTCATAGATCATGCCTCTTGGCAACCCCTTTGTAAGAGGATCTGCCAAATTGTTGCACGACCTTACATACACAATAGAAATGATTCCGTTAGTAATAAAATACCTAACGTAATCATGTCTTAGGCTAATGTGTCTAGACTTACCGTTGTAAATCTTGTTATAAGCTCTAGATAATGTAGCCTCACTATCACAAAAGACAGAAATGGCTGGCATCGGTTGTGGCCACAACTCTATATCTAACAACATGTTTCTTAGCCATTCGGCTTCTTTTCCAGCCGCCACAATGGCTAGGAATTCGGCTTCCATAGTGGAGTGTGTAATACATGTTTGTTTCTTCGAAGCCCAAGAAACAGCTCCACCACCTAGTGTAAAAATCCATCCTGTTGTGGATTTATTATCACTAGCGCTCGTGATCCAACTAGCATCAGAAAATGCTTCTAGTACAGCCGGGAAGTTGCTATAGAAGAGTCTCAAATCTTTGGTTCTTTTCAAATAACCAAAGACTCTTCCAATAGATCTCCAATGATCAGCACTAGGATTACTAGTGAATCTAGAAAGTTTGCCGACCGCAAATGCAATATCGGGCCTAGTACATCCCATTGCATACATCAAACTTCTAATAGCACTAGAATACTCAACTTGTGCCATTGCCCTTCCCTCATTCGCACAAAGCTTAAAAGATGCATCATAAGGGGTGTTAGCCTCCTTTATATCCAAATGCTCGAATTTCTTGAGCATCTTCTCGACATAATGTGACTGACTCAAAGCAAAACCCCCCACTATGTTTCTTTACTTTGATGCCCAATATAGTATCTACTTCTCCAAGATCTTTCATTTGGAAGCAGGAAGTTAGATACTCTTTGGTCTCATTTATGCCTTTCATGTTAGTTCCTATTATAAACATATCATAAACATAAATGCATATAATGACCATATTCTCTTTTGTGCACTTTGAATAAATGCACTTATCAGCAGAGTTATGAGAAAATCCATGAGCCAAAACAACAGAATCAAATTTCTCATGCCATTGTTTAGGTGCTTGCTTAAGTCCATACAATGACTTTTGCAATTTACACACCTTTCCTTCATTTCCAGGCAACACGAACCCTTCTGGTTGCTCCATATACACTTCTTCATCTAACTCACCATTTAAGAATGCCGACTTTACATCCATTTGGTGTACATGCAAATTGTAAATAGAAGCCAAAGCTAAAATCACTCTTATGGAAGTGATTCTTGCAACTGGTGCATAAGTGTCAAAGCAATCTACTCCTTCCTTTTGCCTAAACCCTTTTGCAACCAACCTAGCTTTGAAGGTATGTATTGATCCATCCGTGTTATACTTAATGCAAAATACCCATTTGCATCCAATAGCCTTAGATCCAGGAGGCAGATCCACAAGAACCCAAGTCTTATTTATAAATAACGAATTCATCTCATCATTAACAGCCTCATTCCAAAAAGCAGAATCTCTAGAAGCCATTGTTTCTTGATAGGTTTTGGGATCGTCTTGCACATGGAACAAAATGTGTATCTTTCTTGTAACCTTATTTAACCTATCTCCCTCTACAAGAAAGACTATATCTTGAGAATCAATAAATTCTGGACCAAAACTCTTTTCCTTTCTAGCCCTTTGACTTCTGCGTGGTTCATTAGCAACAGGGTCATATAAAGGCCTTTTGCTACTAGAACCAATGTCAAAAGCGGGAGCAGAGATAGACTCATTTGAGGAATATACAGAAGTAACTCTACATGGTTCTATATTTGTAGAGTCATGTCGAAACTTGTTCTCAAAGAACTCAACATCTCTCGATTCCACAACCACATTAGATTCTAAATCTAGAACCCTATAGGATTTTGAGTTTTCTGCATATCCAAGAAAAACACCTTTCAAAGCTCGTGGTCCTAACTTAGTTCTCTTAGAATCTGGGACTCTGTAGAAAGCAAGACAACCCCAAACTCTAAGATAACTCAAGTTCGGTTTCCTTCCCTTCCACAACTCATAGGGAGATTCCCTTAGCTTCTTAGACGGAATCCTATTGTGTACATGACAGACTGTTAGCAAAGCCTCACCCCACAAATTGTTTGGAGCACTAGCATTCATCAACATAGCATTAATCATGTAAGAAAGAACTCCATTTTTTCTTTCTGCTACTCCATTCTGTTGTGGGGTGTACGGAGCAGTCCTTTGATGTATTAAACCATGTTGCTCACCAAACTCGTTAAAGTTATTTGGAAAATACTCTCCACCTCTGTCACTTCGAAGGATTTGTATTTTCCTACCCTTTTGAGTTTCAACAGCAGATTTATACAATTTAAACTTATCAAAGGCTTCGTCCTTGGTTCGCATTAAATAGACATAGGTAAATCGAGTACTATCATCAATGAAAGTAATAAAGTACCTACATCCTCCTCTAGTTAATTGACCATGAAATTCACAAATATCAGAATGTACTAATTCTAACAATTCTGATTTTCTGTCAACCGACTTAGGAAATTGCTTTCGCTTCATCTTAGCTTGCACACAGATTTCACATTTATCTCTACTGTCATCACAACAAACTACTAAACCATTTCTAGACATGTATTTCTGAGTCTTAAAGTTAACATGCCCCAATCGATTATGCCATAAGTAATTTCTTCCTATAGTTGTTCCATGATGGAGGCAACTTCGCAATAATTGCCCCCACCAGAAACGCATCAGGAAGAGTTATCTTCAACGCAGTGAACTTAGAGGCCAAGATTAGGATTTCATGAACTTGATCCAGAATTGAACGCTTATCAGTCATGCTAAATTCAAAGAACTGGAATGTGACAAACTTATCTGCGGCTTGTTTCTCTGATTTGTACTGGTTCTCCAAAGATGTCCAAAGATGTCCAAATCTCAGTAGGGGTCGCCAACTGGGAATACAGATCGTAGAGACGATCAGAGAGTGAATTGAGGATGTATCCTCAGCACAGCAGGCTGTCATCACTCCTCTTTTTGCGCTCAGCCTTCAATTCATCAGAGTCAGTGTCTTGTGGTTTTCCTAGCGGCACCAAATCAGGATCCAGTATGTACACGATCTTCAAAGCAGTTAACAAAAACTTCATCTTCTCTTGCCAGCGAGTGAAATTGGTTCCATCAAACCGATTGAGTTTGTTGGAATCAGAGACATACGCCTTCAAAGTGCTCTACACTCCAGAATCCATTGTCACACGAAAATAAACACTCTAAGATTGTCAGGGAAACAGTATGGATAAAACGGATTGAAGACGTGATTTTGATCACTCTCCTTAGAGTGTTTATTTGCTCCCATTACTTAGTTGCTGGTAGGATTTAGGCAAACCACCCCCAGGAGTCCCTCCAATCAAAGTCAGAAAGCAGCACCTTTTCATGACTTCTGTGTTTGTGTTTTTGGAGAAGGAAAAAACGAGGAGAAGAAGATGAACGTTGGACGAGAAGTTTGGCTGCAGAAAACTTTTATAGTGAAAACGGCAGTTCCCTTCCGAAGGGTTACGTCGTTTCACAAAAATCAAAATTCAAATAATTATCCGGATTAATTAATTAAAATCATTTCGGTAATTAATTAGCCAGATTAATTAATTAAAATAATTTGGTTAATTAATTAGCCAAAAATTCAAATTCGAACGCGTCGCGCAAACGTGCTAAGTGCGATTTAATATGTCAAATTAAATAGCCCACACTTTTTCCAAAAGCCCACTAACCACTTTATCTAATAACTAAAGTGGAAAGCAAACTTAAAAACAACTTACACTTTCTTTCTCCCTGGTATTTCCTTTACTCTTTGACTACTCTAACAGGACTCACCAGGGCACCAGCTGAGGATGGTGGAAGGATCATTATCGGCAAGGAAGTGGATGAAGTTGGAGCTGAAATTGGGGGCCTCTGCTTTGAACGTGCTGACTACTTGATCGAAGCTTGACAAGCTTGCGTCTACGATCTTTACCGTCATCTTCTCCTTCCCTCTCCGGCTGTTTGCTTTCCTATATAAACAGATTAGGTTCGTCGTAGCCTCTCGCCGCTCGTCTGTCTCCTCTATGCGTTGTTCTTTACGATTTCTTATTAGGATTTGTTTCCTCCCCACGACTGTGTGCCTATCGGACGAATCGACGGCGAAACCAAGGACATAAACTGTGTCTCGCGAGCGGAACCCTCATTTTCGGCGCGGAATGGACTTTGGATCTGGAATTGAAGAAAGGTCAACGTGAGGAATGTAACAACCCGGAAGACAGCTGGCAATGACGTGGACAGAGAGTCATTCAGTATAAATAGGAAGGACTTCTTTACTGTGGTCATCTTTTAGCGAATAAACAGAAGCATAGTTACTTTACCAATTCGGTTTGATTAGCTGTAGAAATAAAACTCCTTTTCTCTTTTCTGTATCACCATTTCTTCTTCCATTCACTCCTTCGCCAGATTTCCCCAACAACGATCCTTACAAGTGGTATTCAGAGCCTGTAATCTGGCTATGGCAACACACACTTCGCGAATCGTTGACTTGGAGACTCAAATGGCAACGATTCAACCGAAGCTCGATTCTCAACACCAGGAATTGAAGGACGTCATCGCTGAGCTTGCGGCTTCGACGAAGACCTCCATCGACGCTCTTATTGCTTCGTTGGAGCTGCATTCTATCAACACCACCAAATGGATTCTCTTTCTTGCTTCGCGTCGGATGGTTGCCACAAGAATTGCGGTTTCCTTCAGCCACCTGTGAGACGCAATGCGGAGCTGGGGTTTTTCCATCCACCTGCACTTCCAGGTACCGATCGACCAAACCTTCCTAAATCATACATTCCTTTTTCCCTCGGCGACGACCCGACGGAAGGGTTTATGTTGTGTGAGAATGGTGAGACAAGTGCCACCACAGTCCACAATCTTGCGCTGAACTCATCTTCCGTAATGGGCTCGACAAGTGCCACCACAGCAGTTTCTTCCGCTGTTGATATTGGCGTTGGGCAGTCGGGCTCTTTGTTTGCAAGTACTGTGATTACCAAGGGTAGTGCAGCTATGCAAGGAGTGAAGTCGTCTCAAGGGCCTCTGCACGTACGTTTTGGGGTTCCCCATCTCACTGCTACTAAAAGCACGCATTGGTTTCAGAGTGGCGTGTTTGATTCCTCTGCTGATCATCTCAACCAGAAGATGATCTCTTTCGTGGCCATTGACCGATTCTTACTTTTGAAGAGGCAGCTTTCCTTTTTGGCGATCTTTGTCCTACTAAGTTTGTGTTTGGGATCTCTCTTTGCCCTGTCAAGTCGGGCAATGCTAACTGGGCTTATGAGTTTCGCGTCTTTCCAACTTTCTATGGCATTTTTCAGCATTCCCATGACAGTAGGCATCATGTTGATTTCAAAGGTCCTTATAAAGATTGTGTTCTTCCTTGGGGAGAAGGGTTTGTGAGAGTATCGACGGTGAAGCTTTCGGATAGTTCAGGGGCAGTTTGGATTGGGAAGGATGATAGCGGGGAACTGAGCTGCGAACGTAAATGCAGGAAGCAATGTTCATGTTCTGCATATACTGAAATAGATGATGCTTTGAAGATCAAGGGTTGCTTGTTGTGGTATGGAGAACTAGTGGATACAGTGTATTTTCCTGCTAGTTCCCAGGAATTGTATGTTCGAGTTGAGGTAGAGGAATTTGCTACGTTTCAAGGGGGGTTTAACGATTCACTTGAGTTGAAGTTGCGCATTCTTCTATCATCTATTGGTTCAGCAGGGTTCCTTGTTATCGTGTTTGCCTTCTTTTGGCTCAGGCAGCGGCAAATCAACTCAGTAAAGAAGAGAAGGACCAGATATTTGTTCCATCCAATTGATGGTTCAAACCACTTCCAGGATTTTGGGGGTGGGGAGGACATGGAGGGTCATTCAGTATACCCGAGTTGCCATTCTTCAATCTCAATGACATTTGAGCTGCTTTTTTCTCCAGCTAACAAGCTTGGAAGAGGAGGTTTTGGCTCCATGTACAAGGAGCGACTACTAAATGGACAATTAGTTGCAGTGGTCTACCGTTTCTGCCTTGCAACTGCATGGATATGACGACTCCTTGAAGGTTGCTCCAGCTCACGTCTTGGCTTAGCTACAGCTTGAGGACAAGCTGTTTTTCAAGGGAGAGGGTTTGTAACAACCCGGAAGACAGCTCGCAATGACGTGGACAGAGAGTCATTCATTATAAATAGGAAGGACTTCTTTACTGTGGTCATCTTTTAGCGAATAAACAGAAGCATAGTTACTTTACCAATTCGGTTCGATTAGCTGTAGAAATAAAACTCCTTTTCTCTTCTCTGTATCACCATTTCTTCTTCCATTCACTCCTTCGCCAGATTTCCCCAACAACGATCCTTACAAGGAAGTAGGCCCAAGTGATTGATTGGGCTTTTCTCTACTGCAAATACTCCAACTGGGCTCCGTCTATTACATTTCCCAGCCCCTTTAAATTAGTTCGCCCATAGTCCAAGTGAATCCAATTAACTACCGATAAGTGATTTTACCCCGAAAAAATGAACGACTAAAAGGCATATTCCATAAAATCGTACCGTATCGACGGTTCAACCACGAAATATCAGTATTGGAGGCTTAATCAGTAGGTGGTATTTAACGGTCTAACAGTTGAACTACAGTTAAACCATGATTTTATCATAAAATATCATACCATTGACTTTTCCAGTACGATATCCGGTACGGTTTCATGGACCATGCTAAAAGGGCGTCTAGGAAAAAGCCTCCCTCTCTCCCTCCGTGAATTTGGTCCACCACTGAAGAGAAAGAGAATTTGGAAAAAGCAGAGGAAAGAAAGAGGAAAGGCTCCATCTCAAGTCTAATCTCATAGACTTGCACCGCAAGCCAATGTTATTATAAATGTGAAGAAGGGAGAGGCAAATCCATTCCCATCATCCTCCATCTGCTCTCATTCTCATTGGCAATTTGTTGTACGGAAGGTAGTGTATTCATTTCCACAAGCTAGATCAGTATGGGTGGAGCTTTGTCATCCAGCTGTTGTTTCCCTAATGCTAGCAGGAACAGCAGCTCCTCATCGTCGTCGTCGTCATCATCAAATAATAATAAGAAGGGTAGTCGGAGTAAAAGCAAGTCCTCCTCGTCCCAGAAGCCTGTAGCTGATCAAGTAGTAATAGGAGCGGCAGCCGAAGTAGCTGCAGCTAGGCGGCCTCCCATTCTAGTTTCTTATTTTCCTGTCAATTCCCGTCCTTCGCTATTGTAGGCTGTAATTCATTAATGTTTGTATCAGCAATCTATTAGCTTCATCAGTTTCAAACTTGAACTGGAAGAATTACGAGCCAATTTTTTTTCCAATATATTTTTCCTATTAATAATAGTACATTTTCCTTACATATATTGTGTCTCAATATATCATTTAATAATTTCACTTTTTTCAGGTATTATGCATTTTGGTTTGTGAAACTGAAACGTTGGTGTCGTTTGGAAGTTGCGATTATTAAATAGATGTATTGTTGAGAATGCATGTATAATATTATATATGTATTGTCGAATTTGATGCATTGTAGAATACAACGTTTGGTATGTGTGATTGTGTATGTCGCATCAGCTAAAAGTTGAGACAAAACAATCTCAACTCAACTATCTCAACAATCACAACTAAAAGTTGAGATATAACAATCACTCAAAATGAGTGATAGTTTCTGTCACATCACAGAAACAATCCATGTATTGTTTCTGCTAAAAAAACAAAAAAAACGATGCATTGTAAACAATACATGCATAATGACAATCTCAACAAAACTATCGCAACTTCCAAACGACCCCGTTGTACTTTATTTAACGCATTTTCCAACCATTTTTCTTGTTATCTCAAAGTTTCTAGACAAGTTTTCCGACTAGCTATCAGGGGCGGAGCCAGGATTTCGAGACCGGGGGCCCGAAAATAATTAAACAATATGTATCTGGCCATGGTGGATCGAACTCATGTGCTTTAAAACACAAGTTAGGCTTAGCTATCATTAGACCACATGACTAATACACAATAAGATATACAAAACCAGTCTACTTATACAATTTTTATTGAATATCCTTAAAATCCTAGGGGCCGGGACCATTCCCGGGGGTCGGGGCCCACCCTAAGTTACATGTAGCTCCGCCTCTGCTAGCTATTACTTTCCTCCGCCATCCTTAAACTTCAAATATTCCTAACCTTTCGCAATCGTCGCGTAGCCAAAATTTTATCTAAAGAGTGCATTAAAATAATTTTTGAACAATTACTCATGATGCGATCTCATGTTTCATTGAAGAAAAATTTAGATCAACATGTTTATTGACAAAAATGTATTAGCAAACTAAATATAATTGCACAAGCAAATACATCCACAGGAATTAATTTTCTCTTTCGACTATTATTATCATAGAAAGTTAATGATTTCCTCTAATAATTTGCACCATCTTATCCATTTTCATAAACTAGACTGCATTAATGTATAAATTAGTAGATAAAACTAACTAATATAATTGAATGTGGTTGAATTATAAAATTTAACAGTTAACATTAAAATTTGGGTTCAAATTTTATTATTGGTATATTAATACAACTAAATTTTAGTGTGTGTCTCCAAATAAGGGGGTGCCATGTCAACAAAAGTATATAGTGAATTTACTGGAAACTGCACACATGGATGACTGTGTTCCGTGTACTACTCCCATGGAGCAAATCCTTAAGCTACGTAAGACGGATGGTGATTTACTGCCTAATGGTTCCTTTTATTGGAGTATGGTCGGGAGTCTTATTTATCTAACGCACACTCGTCCGGATATTTGCTATGTTGTTCAGGTGGTAAGTCAGTTTATGCAAGCACCCCGAACTCCGCATTTGGCAGCAGTTAACAGGATTCTTCAGTATCTGCGCGGTAGTCAGGAGGTGGGTTTATTCTTCCCAGTGTCCAGTACACCTATCTTGGAGGCTTTTGTTGATGTCGATTATGCTGGTTGTCTAGATACTCGACGTTCTACGTCAGGGTGGTGTGTGAAGATGGGTCAGTCATTCATTTGGAGATGTAAGAAGCAGCAACGTGTGTCGAAGTCTTCCACAGAAGCTGAATATCGATCTATGTCCGAAGTTACTTCTAAATTGGTTTGGCATCAGCGGTTGTTGTCCGAGATTGGTGTTGAGTGCCAGATTCCTATGCGCTTGTTTGGTGACAGTACAAGTGCTATCCGGATTGCTACAAATCCTATTCTTCACGATCGGACCAAGCATATTGAGGTTCATGTGCATTATATTCGTTAGCTTGTGTCAGAAGGATAGGTGGAGCTTTCGTATATTACGTTAGAGGAACAGACTGCAGATTTGCTGACGAAAATAGTGGCCACTGCTCGACATTGGTTTCTGTCTTACAAATTGATGTTGCGTAAGCTTCATCAATTTGAGGGAGGCTGTTAGAAGTTTAGGTGCTGGATTGTAATTAACCTTTGGTAGTTTCGGTTAATTACCTTCTGCCGCCGCTTGCTTTGGTTTGTAGGCGGCTAATATTTATATGTGATTATGTCGTATGTAACCCTTAAGCATTCTAAAGCTACGTGATGACTCGATATTTGCACATGTTTTCCCCTTTATTTCTTGATCGTTTAAGCTTGCATTATCGCTTCTTTGGCCTATTTTATGCTAGGTTGTGTTCCTTTGTCACATTTCAGGCCCTATCACATAAAGTGAAGCATAGGCGCAAGTTTCAAGTCAATCAGAGATCAATTGGCGATTAGGGAGAAGAAACTCAGGCATGACCTGAAGAAGAATGGATTTCTGCCTCACTTTATGGACAAATAATCAGGCAAGCTTGTTATGAAAAGAAAGAGGATGAGACTACGAGCGTCTGGGTTCAAACGGCGACTGATTTGGAGTCCGGACGAGGGAGAAACGAAGCTTTGAACAGGAGAGGAGGAAGAATTACGGGCAGGAGAATTACGACCGTAATTTGGCCTCCCATGCCCGTAATTTCACTGCCGAGAGGAGCTTTGGGTGCGCTGAAACATAACCAAAACGCGTGTTTTGGGCAAATTACGGGCATGGAAGAATTACGACCGTAATTCAACCCGTAATTCGCCCAGAATCGGGTTTTTGAGGCAGATTCGAGCCAAAGGAAAGGGAGAGCTGGGTTTTGGATCCCAAACACCCAAGGGACGAACCCTAGAGAGAGAGCGACTTGGGAACATTCTTGGAGCTATTTTGGAGGATTTCTTCGCCATTGGAGCTCGGGAATCAAGCTTGGAGATGGAGATTGAAGATCTAGATCATATTTCTGCAGTCTCTCTCTTCTCTATGGAGTAACTTCCCTTCACTTAGGTTTTGAGGAACCCTAGTTCCATGTGTTAGGATCTTTCTTGTATGAAGTTTTGGATGCTATATTGTTTGATTATAATCGATTGAGGCATGATTTATAGAGTCAATTGAATCTTGATCAAATTCTCTTGATTTCTGCTTTAACCTATGATAGATAGAATCTGATTAGGTTAAGAGAGCTTCCTTGATTGATAGTGGTGAATTGGTTGTGCGAGAGTCAATCAATTCACTGCTTTGTACTGGAATTCATTCCGGTAGTGGAGTTCTGTGTTCATAGCCTCAGCTTTCTATCCTGGTGAAGACTAGTCGTCTGCCGGGTAGTTGGACTGAGAGGGCTTGGTCAGCTTAAGAGATTCCAAGCTAATTTAGGATCTTCCGCAGTTTAATCAACAGTAGATCAACCAAAGGTAATTGCAACTTGGACCTAATTGAGGAGCTAGGGGGAATCATACCTAAGTGAGTTCCCAAACTGTAATTAGTAGTTTTACTTAGTTTAGTTAGTAGAGTAGTTTAGTTAATCAATCCTTAATCTAGTTTGCTAGATAATGAACTGAAGCTGAGTAATAGTAACTCTAGAGACCCGTGGATTCGATATTTATTACTTGTGCCACTATACTGCAGTCCCTTTCATTGGTTACACTTGGCCATTGTTAGGTGTTGTGTTTTAGCGTGTCACTACGTCATACGATTGACTCCGAGAGGTTTCTCCCTCTCCGTGGATTAGTTTCAACAATACATT